AAAGTTAAACACATTTTTCCTCAAACATCACCTCTCTGTGATAGGTGCGAGACAGTTAATGGTTCTCTGGCACATCAATTCTGGCTATGCCTAAAAATCCAAGATTTTTGGAGCTCAATATTTAAATGGTTCTCCCGTGTATTCAAGGTAACTATGGACCCTGACCCTGAAACAGCTCTTTTGGGGTTCTCTGCCATCTTGGAAAATACGGGTCATGATGTCACCATAGTAGTAACTTACGGCATGGTGATTGCTAAACGATGTATTTTGAAACTCTGGAAATCAGATTCTCTGCCCAAATTTGAAGCCTGGCTTAGAGAAATGATGGGAGTGCTGCATATTGAAAGACTGAGGTATGAGGTGTCAGGCAACCCTCAAACATTTCAGAAGGTATGGAGACCCATTCTAGAGCATTTGAATCTGTAGTGGCCCCCCAAGAAAAAGGTGACAATGTTGTCATATTATGTAGCTGTAGACATTTTTATACTCTGTGATTTTTTTTGTATGAGTGTGCCCCATGTGTGCTTGTGTGTTTTATATTTTTGTCTTTGTTTGTTTATTTTTATTTAATTTTTTAATTATTTTTTTATTTTTTATTTTAAGTCATATAGAATGTGAATTTAAATTCTGTTTATTTAATGTATGCGTATGTATATGTATATGTGTATATGTATGTATGTATGTGTGTATATATATATATATATATATATGTATATGTATATTATTATGACTATTTTTATTATTTATCTAATTTTCTTTTTACTTTTGTTGTTTGGGAGTGTTTGTTCTAAAATGAAAATGAAAATGTGAATAAATAAAGTTATATAAAAAAAAAAAGAACAAGAAAGTGCAGCTCAGTCTGTTTTAGGGATGGGCATTCGATGAAATTTTCTTAATCGATCGTCAGAAGAATTAACGATCGATTATCGATTAATCATTAACGTTTTTATATTAAAATTATCATCATTATTATTACTATCTGCACTACTAATCTGCATAAATAAATTCAATGTTACGACATATAAACCGTAAACACTCTAGAGCCACGTCAGCCCGTTTTAGATTATAATGTTAATTCAGTTTTGCGCAACTCTCACAGAAACAAAACTTAAAACCGCATTGCTAATTTGCATAAAATAAGAAAAGGTAAAACTACAGCTCTTGTGCCCTGATGCGGTTCAATTTCTGTCAGATTAAAAGACATGACTCAGGTGAATACAGGTTAGTGTGACTATATTTGTGTTTGTCAAAACCAGGACACCGTACGGGGGGAGGGAGGTGGGGACTCGTCATCGACATTGCGCGACTCTCACCTGGCAAAACTTTTCCCCACTGGACACCGAAACACTGTGCACATGGCCTCGTGTCCCGAACAGAATGAAAAGCGTGTAATTTCTTGTGCAAGTCATCCTTGCACATCGTTCGCATTTGCACTTCAGTACGTTGCAGACTGACCCACTGTTTGTGTCTCGCTCCTTCTGAGTGCAGAGACACATGTACAGACCCCTGTTTGGTCACGCTACACACAGCAACCTACATTCGGTTTGTCGATTAAAATTAACGTAATCGATGAAATTCTTACTGATCAATTATCGATTAATCGACTAATCATGCCCATCCCTAGTCTGTTTGTCTTCTGCACCTCTCGCTTAACAATCGGGATTTCGCATGATCTGCATTTTTGTTCTTGTGGAATTTTATCTTTGGGGTGTAATAGCTGTTGGCGGAGTTTTGTGAACGTTTTGTGAAATCCTATGCAATAAATCATACACAGGGGAAACGGGGCTGGGCATTAGAAAAAAGGAACAATAAAGCAGAACAATAAAGCCTCAAATCCATCCATCATATCAGACACTGTAAAAGAAAAAAAAACACATTATGGATCGGGACGGGGCTCGGGTCATTGGATCGGAAAACAGCAAGTTCAAACGCTGGATCAGGAAGGGAGGACAGAGAAAACAGGAAACGAGGCACAGACAGCATTACTGTATTGTCTTTAAAAACAGCCTAGATGAGATGTCCCAGTTTTTTATTTTGCAAATCTGGTCACCCTAAATACGACTTGACAAACCTGATGTGATGTGTTGTAGCGTCATTAGAGGAATGCTTGTGTTGTGATAGCGCTCTGAAGGGGGAGTGACTCAACAATAAAAGGTAACATAGTGATCTACCGTATTTTTCTAACTATAAGTCTCACTTTTTTTCATGGTTTGGGTGTTTCCTGCGACTTATACTCCGGTGCGACTTGTATATTAAAATTTTCAGACTGAAGCGGTGAGAGGCTGTAGGTTTGTGTATCAGTTTTCTGTGCATGTTTCCTGCAGAATGAGCCTCAGTCCTGCTGCAAGTAGTGAAATATGCAGCTGAAAAAGAAAGTTTGGAGTGAGCGAGAAACTTGTGAGGGAGTGATGGAAAGTGGGAATGGAGAACAAAGCTTCACAGTAACTGGGAGGATTCACCATGCAGCTTTCTTGGAAGTCACTGGATGAATAAACAAAACCTGGACTTTAGTAACACCCAAAGTTGTGCGGAGTTGCTCAGAAGTGACACAGAGGATAAAGAATTCAGTGGATTTAGTGATTTGGAGTGAGAAGGACAGTTTGGTAAACTTATGTTCTGTTGTTTATGCTATAGTTTATCTGAAGAACTGTTCATGTGTGACGTTAACATATGAACACCTATACAGCCTGTTGTTCTTTATTCTGTTGTTATGGTAACACTTTATAATAACTAGACCTTATTTAGCCTTAATAAAACATGAACAAAGACTTAATTAATAATGATTCATGCTTAGTAAATGTTTAATAAAGCATAATTTGTCTTCACTTTAGAAAATCTCTCAAAAAGACTTAACTAACAGATAACAGCTGCCTGAATTATCATTGCAATGCATTATTAGTAAATCATTCTCTCATAGCTTACTAATGATTAATAAATGCTCAAATGGTTAGTTCATGAGTAATTAATTATGAAATAATTATGAGTAACTATTTACAGCACAGGCAAATTAAGTGCAAGTGCTAATTAAGGTAGTAATTAAGTAGTTACTAAGCATGAATCATTATTAATTAAGTCTTTGTTCATTACTAATTAAGTCTTTGTTCATGCTTTATTAAGGCTAAATAAGGTGTAGTTATTATAAAGTGTTACCGTTGTTATTAATAGAACTTGCTGGCCACACTGGCTCACCTAGTGCCTCTGCTCAATTTCAATTCTCTCCAGCGACAAGATCAGGAATCAAAATACACTAGACAGTTTGCAAAAACCCGGAAGTTTGGGCACCAGCCAATCAGCAAAGAGTCAGACATTCTGTGTTGGCAACGGATCAATCGACAATCGTGGATTTAAAGCCGGAACAAAGAGAATGTTTGGTGAATTTTATCAAGGGGAAAGACGTTATTGTCCTTCTTCCTACGGGATTTGGGAAAAGCTTAATATACCAGTTAGCCCCGTTCGCGGCGCATTACATACGTCATGACCAAATAGCAGCGATTAGTTAAATAAAAAAAGTACCCGCCTACCGTCGAGCAAATGAAATCTAACACTGCGAGGTCAGACGATTTCTACGAAGTGAAACCGGCTGATGAATCAGGCTAATAAATTGCCTTTCAAGTTATTGTCACTTCCTGATCCCCGATTTTATGAAATAAATTTCCCCCAAAAAGTGCGACTTATACGGGTTTTTTTCTTCTTCCTTACCCATTTTTTGGCTGGTGCGACTCATACTCCAGAGACACTTATAGTCAGAAAATTACAGTAAATATGTGTCACTTAATACAGCTGTTAACCCTCTCCAGGCAGGCGTTGCAGATTTGCAAGAGCTAAATTCCAATTACCTACTTACTCCAAATCCATATTTTATGAGCTTTTTTTTACTCAGGAGCCTTTTCTCCCATCCATGCTGATAAACATGGGCGATGCAGACTGCACGAAAACGGCCTGCCAGAAGTGCAAAGTACTTTTTTTGTTTACAAAGGATAAAAAAGTCATTATTGTATATTACTAGCACATATTATAATTTTCCCCAAATATCAGATTTTTCCTGATACTAAAACTTTATTTGAGCCTGAGAGTGTTTAGTCTGAAGTAAAATACCCCTGTAAAACATTTACAGAACCAACAAAACATCTCTAATATTCTAATATTCTAATATAGACTCATTTCCAAAGGAACCAAAGGGCAAGAAATGCTCCACAGTGTGACATTAAACTTTATCTACCTAACTTTGATTCTAATTACAGATGTTTTAGTGCTTAAAAAAAAAAACAAAAAACACTCTGCATTACACATAAAATCCGTCTCACGTTGCAGAGAGAAAGTGCGGACCACAAACATGAGGAAAAAATCAAACGCTGCAGCGAGGAGACCGCACACTGCATGCTGAAAGTTGTGAGCAAAAACAAAAATATAGCAAAACTCTCAGCTGTGTCCTGCCTGTTTTTACTTTTAGGGAAAGTTATTCAAACTGATTCATTGATCTGTTTCATGGTCTGGGCGCCGTTATTCATTATTGCTAATAGAAAACATGGATGAGAATGCCGCAGTTTAACTTAATTGCCGTATTATTATTGGTTAAATTATGGTTTAAGAAAAATGCCTTCTTGCGTAAACTGTCTGAGATTAAGCTTTAAAACTCAACGCTTCTTTTTTTTCTTTTTTTTCCAATGTAAAACTATGACCACAGGTAATATCCACCAAACCAAGTCAGAATAAAAAACAAAACAAAACATGAAAACCTGTCACTGAAACAGAAAAACCTGCATACCTGGTTGGCATAAATGTCAGCGCCTTTGTTTTGTTAAATTATGGTTTAAGAAAAACGCCTTCTTGCATAAACTGTCCGGGATTATGCTTTAAAACACAATGCTTCTTCTTTTTTCTTTTTTTTCCGATGTAAAATTATGACCACAGGTAATATCCACCAAACCAAGTTAGAATAAAAACAAAAAAAACAAAACAAAGCATGAAAACCGGTCACTGTAACAGAAAAACCTGCATACCTGGTTGGCATGTCCATGTTTGACATCCTCAGGTGTTTTCCAGCTGGGATTCCGAGGTGTTTTCCAGCTGGGATTCTGGCGTCTCTGCTCCGGTCTGTTCTCTCTGCCTCTTATTAGTTCCAGAGCAGCACAGACGTCCCTGGAAAAGGTCCTCCCTCTGCACCACCCTCTCCCTGTCCCATGTGTGAGCTGCTCCTTATTATTCAATCACAACCGCTCCTTCTTCTATGAGTCTCTTCCAAATATTTATGGTATTTTGTGTGTGTGTCAAGATTTTTCAAGGGTTTGTATAATGCTATTTTCTCATCTATGTTGCAGTGTTGTTTTCTTATCTAAAGCAGACCTGGAGTTGTGTTTTGTTTCATTCACACACGTGTAAACTGGCCTGATTCATCAGCCGGTTTCACTTCATTAGGATTTGCTCGCTTGACGGTAGGCGGGTACTTTTTTTATTTAACCAATCGCTGCTATTTGGTTGTGACGTATGTAATGTGCCAAATCCTGTAGGAAGAAGGGCAATAATGTCTTTCCTCTTGATAAAATTCACCAAACATTCTCACCTTTCGCAGTCTCGCAGTTTCTTTTAGTAAAATTTTGCCTGTTTTTTTTTTTTTTTTTTTTCCCCGTGTATGAACGTGTATTGCGTATTACGGGCGGGTAGTAATTACACACGGGTGGGGCAGGACTAAACCAGGTCTAAACCAGGACTAATCTCAGACTTGAGGGACAGAGCGGAGAGCAGTTTGTCTGGAAAGCGCGATTTGGAAATTGCCGCTTGTACCTTCGTGAGGTGCGGAGCTCTCCGTCGGTCCTTTCTCCTGCGGTCACCTCCGAGCCCGTCCCGCCAGTGAGTCCTGTTTCAGTTCTGGTTTAGTCCTGGTTTAGTCTTGTTTTACTCCTGTTTTAGTCCTAGTTCAGTCCTGGTTTAGTCCTCCTCTTCCTGGAATCAGTCCTGGGTTAGTCCTGGATTAGTCTTGGTTCAGTCCGTGGCGTAGGCAGCGCAAAAGTTTGATATAATCTCAGGTCAGCGGGCGGGTGTGGTGCTGTACTGCGTGTGTGCGGGTCTCCAAAAATGTGCAGGACTCTGCGCTGTAGGCTCCATTACATAAAGAAGGAGGAAAATAACAAAAGGACGACAGCAGCAGTAAGTTTTAAGAAGGATGTAAAACAGGTTGTAACTGTCCTGTGTGAGAAAAGTGTATAAAGTGTGTGGTGAGGGGTTTTACAGACTTAACCCTTGTATTATGTTGATAAAAAATTACATTGATTATGTTGCGGGTCGTTTTGACCCGTACATTGTAAATCCATGCAAAAGAGTAAAAAAAAAAAGGTTAAACCAATAACATCTTTATTTTAGATTATATGAACATTTAGAAAAGAGACAAACAATAACTTTTTAATTTCAACAGAACTATTTAAGAACAATTTAAAGTGTTCCCTCTTCACACTTTTTTTTTTTTGTGTGTCATTCGACTTGCTTCATTTTCAATGTTCAACAATGTTCACCCATTTATCCCATACATCTCTGATCGCAGCTAATTTGTCTCTTTCCCGTCAGCCTGCTCCAGTGTCGCGATTGTCAAATCGGATCACACGAGACATCATGTGGAATGTCTCCAGAGACATTGCAGCTCGAAAGATTGGCCTTCCATTTTCTTCATTCCACAGACTTGCAGTTGCTTCTCCTTTTGACCTGTACACTCCAGCTAATATCAGAATTCCAATGCCAAATTGGTCATATCCAGTATTATCTTCTCTATTGGTGGGGATATGAAGAGCTGAAATGCTGACTGAATATCATCAACTTATGTGACAGCAAATCTTGTGGGACCGGGAGTCATTTTGATGACATTGAAAGATGACCGTCTACCTCGACTTTGGTGGGGTGATGTTGACCATTTTATCCTACCATCTTTAGATGCCCATGTGTCCTCTGTGGATGATGATTGCTGCATTCCTTGGTCTTCATCTGATGGAGAGACAATGGCAGACTCGTCCTCTGAATACTCCTCATCAGAGGAAAATTGACAATCTGGATCATCAATAACATTGTCCTCCTTCTCTGAAAGATCCTCTGCCTCTGAAATCTCTTCCTCTGCTTCACCATCCCAGTTCAATATCTGTGCCAAAGTTTCTAGAACTGTAGAACTTCTGGAGCTCATTTTTGGTGTGTTTGCCAAGAAATGAAATGAGAACAGAGACAGTGAGTGACAAGGACAAGGGCGAGAAAGTTCTGCCTCTACTTGCACCTGAGTCTCAAGACAATCTAAACAAAGTAAATCAAAAAAGAGATCATCAAAGAGATGTTTATTTTTCGATCTGAACAGCTATTTACCCACATTATAGTGTCTGGGTCAAAATGACCCACAACATCATCTTTGTATAAAACTCTGCACAGACATTGTACTACACATCGAAGAGTCCAGATTTCACACACGAGTTCATGACCCAAGATGAGAAAAAGTCACAAAATTGTAGGAAGAAAAAAAATGGATAAACAGTACTTTGGTCAAAACAAAAACTGAAATGGGTCAAATTGACCCGTAACATAATACAAGGGTTAAAACAGATATAATAATTGTAAAATATAAAGTTGACTACTTCACAGATTTCACCTATCGCGCGTTATTTTTAGAACGTAACCCCCACGATAAACGAGGGAACACTGTATTCCAGCTTTAAATCCTCGATCTCGGGAATCGTTGACAAAACAGAATGAATGTCTCTTCGCTGATTGGCTGGTGCCCGAACTCGCACTTCCGGGGTTTTTGCGAACCGTCTAGTGCGGGCATGACCAAACTATGGCTCGTGGGCCAAATGCGGCCCTCAGACAAATTTTTCTTGGCCCTCAGGCTTCCAGGTGAATTGGCCCAAGTTACCATGCATCAACAAAATTTTACTTTTTACTGCAAGTTTTTTTAAAATCTACCTTTGTGCCCGGTCAAGCAGAAGTAAACAGCAAGGCCAAAAATTCAAGTTAATGCATCTGATATAAAAATGTATTGAACAGATACATATGTACTCTAGTTTATGAAACTGTTGACCTTTTTTCTGTACCATTTTTGGTTCTAAAGTTACATATGTTTTAAACAGACCATGTATGAAACATGGAACAAAAATTATTTCCCAAATTTCAAAGACCTGCAAATCATGTAAATAAATGGATGTATTTCATCATATCTTGTGTTATTCCATCTTTGAACTGTTGATGAAGGTACATGATTTTTTCAAAAAAATATTTATTTTAAAATGATAAAAATTTGCTTGGAAGGACTGACATATTTTATAGAAATAGTTTCCTTTCATTTTGAAGTAATATTAAAGTATTCAGAAGAAAAAAGCGACAAATTATGCAAAATCCTGCACCTTCTACTTGTTTGCACAATTTTCCCTCCGTTACTTTTCCCTCCGTTACCATGACCTTTCTTAATAAAAAATCTCATTTTTCAAAAAGTAAGAGGTTTTTCAACCTAATCTTGTACCATATGGTAGAAAACTATATGAAGCAAATATTCAAACCAGTTTGTTAAGGATATGTAAGTGAGAACCAAGAGTTATCACTGTTTTTATTTATTGCCCAAAAAGTGCTGCATATTTCATTCCCTCCGTTACCGACATGAGTTTTTAAATTTTTTGTCAACAACTTGAAAGAATATCACAGGTTTAACTTGACCCTGTTGGAGTGTAACTCTTTCCTACATTCTGATACTTTACTTATTTCAATAGTTCCCTCTAGTTTCTGAATAAGAGACATTTGAATGTCAAAAATCTGCCGCTGTTTCCCTCCGTTACCACTTGACTGGACCCCTTGATAAAGCTCATATTTAATATTTAGTGTGTGGTTTTAAGGATCTTAGCATGAATAAAGACTGATAGCTCATTCTAACGTGTTAAACCTGCACACATTTAATTATTCACTGTACTGAGCACCAGTCTGCGGTCCTCGATCAGCCCTCTGCTTCATCTGTGTTTAGATATGTGGCTCTTGATGAAAAGTTTGGACACCCCTGGTCTAGTGTATTCTGATTCCTGACCTAGTTGCTGGAGAGAAATGAAAGGTCAAGAATCAGAATACACTTGACGATTTGCAAGAACCCCAGAAGTTGTAGACCGTGCACCGGCCAATCAGCTGTGAGCTGTGAAGCCATGACGTCAAACTCGTCGCGTCTTTCTGGGTCCCTTTTGTGGAACAATACAACAGTAAACAAAGATGGATGCAGACGAAGACAGACATTCTGTGTTGGCAACGATTCCCGAGATCGAGGATTTAAAGCCAGAACAAAGAAAATGTTTGGTGAATTTTACCAAAGGGAAAGACGTTATTGTCCTTCTTCCTACAGGATTTGGTGCATTACATACGAGTCGACCAAATAGCCGCGATTAGTTAAATAAAAAAAGTATCCGCCAACTGTCGAGCGAACGAATTCTAATTTATTTATTTTTGCACGTATAACAAATCAATTAAAAAACACACTAGATAAATGCTGGAAGAGGAAAAAACCCCAAAATGGCTTATTTTAAAGTCTCCACCTTATGAATACATTAAAAATTGAACATTATCGCTGTGCATAAAAAAAATACATAAAAAATTCCTTTTAAAAATCCATCCATTTTCTTCCACTTATTTTCTTCCACTTATCCGGGGCCAGGTCGTGGTCCTTTTTAAACATCTTTGATTAAATTTATTTGATTCAAACATGGATTAAAACACAATAAAACATCCACAACTGAATGATTATCAAACATTAACATGAAATTTCAAATATTTCCTCACACACTTTTTAAACAAGCCAGATGTGAAAACTGTTCCACGCCTGAGTCACCTGAGATCCAGAATACTTCTTCAATACTTTACACGAAACACATGATGGATTTCTGCAGAGTCAATGAGCAAAAGCACTAAACTGTTCATCTGAGGTAAGAGAAATTTGACATTTTTCGTGATCGATGAGCTCCTTCATTTCACATGAGTCACTGGAAAAAAAAAATCCAAATCTGATTGTGATTTATTGCGCGAATTATAACGTAATGATCCACGGGTGTCGACGATTATAACTGCAGACACA